CCTTAGGAAATAGGACAGGAGACAAGACAAAACCCATTCCCATCCTCTCTGCAGCTTCCTGCTCCAGGGTCAGTAAAGATATACAATGATGGCTGGGTCTGAGCCACGTGCATTGCTTGTAATTATGGCTGCTTCTTCTCTTGTGTGATAATATGGTTCCAGTTACAAGCTAATTATTCCTGCCTCCATGCACTGTCTCCTCAGTGAAGCAGGTGTGCCTTGCTGCAGTGAGCTGGTGAAGGAGGGCAGGAACTGAGGGATGGACGACAAGTAGTAGGATCCCTTCTGTGGCAGAGGGAGAGGCATCTGCAAACTCCCCTGGGGAGCAAGCTCTAATATGATGCCTTCTCTATAAGCAGCACTGACCAGCCCCTGCATTCAGAAAGGCAGGGTCTCAGGGTATGGACCTGATGAGATTTCCAAATAGTGCTGGGATTCTCCATGCACCACGTTAGTGGGGTTCGTACGTCCCAGAAATCATAATCTGCTGTAATAGGTGGATGGTCATCTGGCAAGCGTAAATTTGTGCTCGCTGTCTGGAAATAGGCACTGGTGACTGCTTGAAAAAAAAAAAAAAATCAAGCCTGTGGTAACAGCTGAGGATTTCTGACCTTTGCTCTAACAATTCAAATTTGTTTTTATTGCTTCTAATTGGCCTTGCTTTGGAGCACGCACATTACCGAACTGCCAGGGCACTGGCTGTCATTATCTGCTGGGCCATTTGATTTGTGTTTTTTATGTTTGAAACTTGTCAGACATTCCCAGAAAATACTGTGCTCCCCTTGCAGTGTCAGAGATGGGCCTGGTTAACTGTGTATCCATGAGAGTGAAGCATTTGAAGTAATCAGGCATTGATTGTTTAGCTGTGATGGACGCAATGGAAACACGTCTCCTCTGCGTGGAGGGGAAAGTGTAGAAATTAGATCAGCAGCTACATGACAGCAGCCAGCTTTCCTGGTTTCAGGGATGAGAGGTTAGCCATTTTCTAGCCTTGATGATTCATTTTTGATCCCACTCATGTGGCTTGGATAACTTCGTTTTCTCCTCCCTTTCCAGTTTAAACACAAATTCTCTTCCATTTTGGCCCTCTTTAATACACCAGCTGCAAACTCACTATTTCAAATCTATTGCTCCCCACCTCAAGTTGCTTCATGGAATGGAAACAAAAGTCAAGAAATGTGTGTGAAAGAGCTCAAAATGCCACAGTGGCACAAGTGTGCCTACAGTGGTGGCTTTGTAAAGCTCAGCTCATCTAAAACGTTAGCCCGGTTTGAAAGTCTGCTGATTCATTTTAAGACCTTTAAGGCTTAAGGTTTTGTAACAATTAGAAATCCAGATACAATTGTTTTAGATGTGAACATGTACACCACATTTGGAGCAGAGGTATATAGGGCCTGTCTCCTTGCAGACGGGCTGAGAGCACTGCAGGAAGCAATAGGAACATCCCCATTTTGCAGAATGTAGAAAAGAGCATCGCTGAAAACACCAAGACGTTAGACCTCAATGTGAATTATGCATCTGCTGTATTTAGATAGAAGCAATTTTGCTGTTGAAATCAGAGGTTGGCATTTTTTCCCATGGGGTTCTGTAACTCAAAATTGTGTTGAGATCAAGCATGTAGTGGTTGGTTTTTTTTTTTTTTTTTTTTGCTGTAAAGGTGAATGTATTCAGATTATTCAAGTGGTGATTTTTGGATGTACAATTAGTTGACTGAGAGATGTGGTATAAATTTGGTATTGTAATTGCTATGCCTCTGAGATTTCAATTTGCAAAACAGTTTGCATGGCTGCAAGATTAACTGTTGTATGTGCGATGAGCATGCAGCAGAGTAGTGATTTGATCATGACTGTCTGTCAATTGGCTGTAGGTCCAAAAAAAATCACTTTATCAGAAGTACCTGATGTGAACAGAGTGGCTGATACTCACGATGCTTCAGTTCAGTGGATGCCTGGGTGGCTGCTAAAAAAGGCCAGTGTTTAAAAATCCCACCTGTGAGTGCTGTTGGTTAGACAGAATTTCCTTTTTCTGTGTTACCCAAAGAATGAAAAAGGAAGGAGTTTTAAGACCCATTTTTATCCTCTTTGGATGTTTCATATTATATTATTTCCTTCACTTGCAGAGAGGAGAATGGGAATGATGTTCAGCAGCACTGCTCTAATGGACTGGATGAGGGGGTGCAGAGAAATCAGTGTCTGTACAGAAGAGCCAGCCTCAGCACGGGCAGGAGCTGAGCCCTGCCTGCCCGTCCTGCGCTGGCTCAGCCCCTGGGAGCGGGCAGGCAGGCTGTCAGCAGTGACAGGGGCAGTGCTGATGCAGCCCCAGGGCAGGGGATCGATTGACTGGCTGCCTTTCCTGTGTTTTGCATGATTCTCCATTTGGTCCACAGCTGCTGCTGTGTTTGGGTCTCCAGTGTTGTCTAGGAACATGTCAATGTAATTATACACAAAACCAGAGAAACTGCTTGTTCTCACTTCAGTGTGCCTTTCAGGTCTCCCTCCCAGGGTCCTAATTTATTTATTTTTGTCTCCAGTGTTTATCTCTTCAAAATACCACTGTGCCTTAGGTTGGTGATTGAACTGTGGAGATGCAGGAGATCCTGAACTGGTGGCAGCTGTGACAGCAGTGAGGAGGGGAGGGCTGGTGGAGGTAAAGCCCTCTAAGCCCTGCATCTCATTGGCCCCTACAGTTTTTCAATTCTTTTAAATAGTATTTTAAAACCTCCTTCTGCAAATAAAAGCAGAAGCACTGACACACACCTGCGTGGTGGGAAGGCAGGTTTCTCTGTGTCGCTACAGCAGGCAGGTTTAGAGGGGCCCAGGTCCTCAGGGGTGAGTCAGGGTGGAGGGATCAAGAAACCTGGGTTTCCATTTCAGCTCTTCTCCTTCCAGTTCTCCTCAAGTCTGCTGCACGGCCTTCGGTAGGTCACTTCACTTCTGGTAACATGGCTATGTGAATGGATAGGTCCTCCACTTCCTAGTGTTTGTGGCTCAGTATGAACTGGTACAGCACCAACACCAGCTTGGCTTGGGTCTCCAGATGCTGTAGCGAATACAGATAACTGACATTAGAGTGAGCAGACTGAGTGCTTAAAGAGTAGATCAGGCACAAGTACAGGACCCTCTCCATTTGTGTCCTGACATTGCAGTGGGGGGTGAACAAACAAAATCGGCAGGGCATGGCCGGTACTGGGGGGCCAGGAGCTCTCTGAGTGGGCACCCCAAAGGCTCATCGGAGCCCCGTGGCTGGTGTGAGCAAGGCTGACAGCGTGGTTTGATTTCCTTCCTCGGGATGGGAACGGATAGTCAGGTTTTGCCGCTTTTACAAAGGAGAAGCCATCAAAAGGTATATCTGCTTTTATAGCCGCAGCACAGCCAGCTTGGCGAGGGGAGGTAATTCACGCCCTGCCAAGATAAGTGAGAGATGCAGCACCACGGGGTTGGAGCTTGGTATGCGCAGGGGATGAAGATGGCTGCTCAGAGCTGGTGCTGCTTGGGGTGAGTGCAGAGGGACCCCACTCTCTGCTGGCAGTCCTCAGGCAGCGTTGTAGGGCTGCCTTGGCTGCCAGCGGGCAGCCAAGAGCTGGCTCCTCTGGCTCCTGGTCCCAGTGTTTGGCCCACAGGCACCTTTGCGGTTCCAGTGTGACCTGCTGGTGCTGGCCGAGTCTCCCTGAGTGAGGGATGGTGCTGCAGGACCCACAACCCTTGTCATTCAGTCTCTCATCAAAGCGAGGTCTCTGGGTACAACAGTGTGAGTTGTGCCGCTTTTTTTCCCAGGCCTGGCTCTGCCCAGCACCGAGACAAACCAGCGCTGAAGCTGTCCAGTAGCTTGTACCTGTCTTGCTGTAAAACACAAGTATCAGAACCCAGAGGGAGGAGAGGTGGTGAGAGTGCTGGGCTGTGAGATGGAGGATTTTAATTAAGGCCTCTAAGCAAAGAGGCTCTATAAGTAAATAGAATAGCAATGTTACAGAATTAACTGATAATAAAGGATAGAGATTTACTTTTCCTTAAAGTAGCAAACATTCATCTTGTACACCATAAACACACACTCAGCAGTACTTTGTCTGGGAAACAAGTAGTGAGATTTATCGGGAACCAAAGCCTTACAAAGTAGGTTTGTTCCCCCAGACAAGCTGCAGGAAGCTGAGGAGCTGTTTCTGTGGTGCTGAGTTGTGATGAGCTCAGTTCTTATCCCATAAACTCCTAGGGCATCACTGCAAAAGTACTTTGTATTTAGCGTAACTCTGCTCCTTTGGAGGTCAGTAGTTAAATTCCCACTGCTCTGCTAGGGCTGCAGCCCAAAAGGTGCACTGGAAATGCAACACTCCAAACAATAGTCACAACTGAAGTTTTGCATGACTGTTAGATAATTGGAGTTAACGGGCATGGAGAAATAGCAGTATCGCATCAGGCTCTTTGAAGGCATTGGTCTGGATGCTGGAAGCACTGGCATCATGTGTCGAGCGACAGGTGCTCCCCTGCCACCCAGCGGGAGTCTGTCACCGAAGAGTTTGGCCCCAGCTGTGAATATCCCTGGCAGCGGGGGCAATCCGCTGGTGAGCAGACCCATGAACACAGCTGTCCTGTGAACGGTATATGCCCCAGAAGGAAATATTAACAGTGATAGGAGGGCTGTTAATGAGCAGAAATGAAGTGAAACCTTTCAGGCATGTGGGTGCTGCTGTGAGGAGAAAATGGTGGTAAGTGCATTAGCCCAAAGGGAAGCAGTGGGGCCCTTCTCTTGGAGAGCTCAGAGCTAGCGCAAAGCCCTTGAAGTCTCCTGGAAGGACTAACCCTGCTCTGGCCAGAGGAGGATGGGACCAGCTGGTGTTTAACCACCTCTAATTTGTCTCAAGCTGCCAAAGCCTTCCTTGCAGATGCACTTCACTGTGAGACTTTACACATGGCTTCTCCTCGGAGCACACCCCACACACAGCTTACCTGCTGCTGAAACACACAGTGTTTTACAATACCTGTCCTCTCTCTCTCTTCCTTTGGCAGGAAAGAAAAACTGCCGCTTTTTAAATGCACTACCCAGCGGGGCCAAGGGAACAGCCATGCTGGTGGCAAGCCAGAGAAGAGGAGCCAGGCGCATCTGAAGGACCAGTCTCTCTCCATGCGATGAGAGGCGAGGAGGCTGGTCTGTGGAACGAGGCGGAGGAGCATGTCTGGATCTGGAACTGATGATGTTTCTCTTTTTTTCCCAGAGAGGTATTTCTAAGATAACAAATAGTCCAAGGAGGAAAGAGGGAGAGGGAAATTAGCTAGAAATTTTACTATTGATTCTTTTTTTATTTATAGATGGTAAATCAATTTCAGGGCTTTTTTTTTTCCTTTTTTTTTATCTCATCTCTGGGAAAAAAAGAGCGACTCGATAGATTTGCAGAAATCATTTGCGGTGGCTGAAAAGCTATTTGTTAAAATGAGAAAGTCTCCCCTTCCTGCCCGGCCTCCCTCTCTCTCTTTAAAGGGGTAATCCATATGATGAGCTAATGAGGGAGTCCTGGCTCCCCTGCTGCACCATGTGATGTATCCCCTTTTAGTGTCGGGCTCAGAAGCTCTTATGCCAATTGCATGTGCTAGCCCTGTTAGCTTGCATTAAGAGAGCCTGATAAATAGCTTCTGGGAGTCAGGCAGGCGCTCCTCAGTGTGCCGTTTATCATCCGCTGCATGGTTTAGGTTTTTTGCTCTTCTATCAGATCATTTGAAGGAAGGGGTCATATGAGCAATGTTATTGTCAGGCTGCAGGCGTGAAACTCACTGCAAGACCTGTCTAACAGGCAGGAACCATGGTCCTCCAGCAAAAACTGGCTGGGGGCCTAGAAATACTGGACTTCCCAACAGATGTATGACTGAGGCGATGTGAGCTAGGGGTAGTGCTGAAAGGGATGAACAAACAGTGTTGTGCCGCTATGGTAAGAAATTCCAGGTAAAACTTCACCATCTTCCCATTACATGGACAGCATGTGAAATCTCTGCTCGAAGTCACTGTCACTAGGCAGTCTTGTTTCCTGTCTTGTGTGATTAACTGAAACATCTGTCAATGATGTGGATTTGAAGCGCCAGGCAAGTCGTTCTGAAAATGGAGAGTAAAAGAGCGTGACCCTGAGGGGAGTCCAAGTGTCTCCCAGAGGATGGGAAGGCAGAGTGCACTTAAAGTGCCTCTTGCCAACCCATCAGAAGACTCAGGAAGCAGCTTCTCTTCGTTGTCTTCTGCTAGGAGTTGGGCTGCAATGGTGGCTTGGAGGAGAGAAGGTGCCAAGACCCAGTGGACAGAGCGGGAAAGGATGAACCAGACTGGAGGTGAACAAAGATGTGGGAAACAAGACTGAATGAGCTCCTCTTGGTGTGGGGTGGCCCTGAAGAAGTAGTAGCCCCAGACAATCGGTTCTCTAGTAAAAGAGCTGGGTTGGTTGCTCCTCTCCTCTTTACCAGGACTTGAGTGCCATGATCTAGGAACAGAGTCAGACTCAGCTGGGTGCTCTGGCCTGTGTGTGAGAAGAATGCATTCTAGGGATAAATGAAAAGGTATCAGAAAAACTGAGAATTATAGCCTAAAATAGGCCTTCCAGGTAACTTAAATTTGCTGTCCCTTGTGAAAGTACTCTGTGATTCTTCAGCAATGGAGACCTGGCTGCAAGGCCTGAGCATGACCAACACTGAACCAAGGTGTGATCCTAGGAAGAACTGAAAGCAGCCTGGATTGCATTTATGCAGCCAGGAAGCTAGTAGGCCCTCATATGTGCTCATCTGTCTTTGAATACAGTTCCCATATCTATGTCTCAATGGATAGAAGGGAGCTCTGTGTAAGGTCCTTGAGCTTCTTTCCATACAAGTAAACACAAAGCAAGCAGGGTCAAGGCTGAGGTCTGCATTCTGTGTCTCAGGACCTCATGTGCACTTCTGGAGCCCCATCACAACAGACCTCCGGGGAGCAACTGGTACATGGTTTCCATCCAGGCAGCATTACTGCAGCCAGAAAGAGTGAGCAGGTACAAGTCAGGACAAAAATTTGGCTGTGCATGCCTCTGAAAAAAGGACAAGCTACTCAGAATCTGACAAAACTTGAGCTGATTGTGTCTGTGCATTAGCCACCCAGTAGCTGGGCTTTCATTAGGTAGTTAGTTATTCTCTGATAAAGGGAACTTGGCTGAAAACAAGAAATAGATATCCCACTGGAAGGAAAATGATTTAAAACACCAAGCCAACCTGATACTGTCAGTATTTCAAGGTGAGGGTGTTAAACTGTGCATGTTTTTAGGGGGAATGAAATGCCTTCATATGATGAATTCCAAGGCATCCAAAAGGCACAGTGCTGGCTCTCTGTCTCCAAAAGCAGAGTAATGAATAGCAGTGACAGTGTGATAATTAAAATGACCTCTTGGAGATATGGATTAGAAGGTACGCAGAAGGGGGATAAGTTCTCCTTTGAATTAATCTAGTGTTAATTTATGACTATCATTGGGTTTTATAGGGTTTTAGTGGAAGACTTTCAAAGTTGGTTTACTGGGGTGATAATGTTCCTTCTGCATATTCATTGAAAAAACACTTGCAGAATTCCTCATTCTTTCTTTTTGAATGGTTCTATATACACATATATATCTATCTATATATATAATGAAAGAGTTTCAGGTATTTGCTTAGCTGCTAAAGAGTCTACTCTAGAAATATGAATAAAGCGATAAAAGCAGCTGTAAAATGAGTGTGTTGTTTCATTTTCATTCCTTCCTCCTCACAGGCCCCCAGAGTCACTTCAAAACCAAGATGTGGACAAGCAGGTTCTGGGAAGCCCTTGTGCTGCCCTGCTATCAGTTGTCAGAGGCTCCTGCTACCCAACTTGTAAAAGTCAGTCTTTTAAGTTCAGATGTAATAACTGAATCTTCCTGGAAATCACTGTCTCCTCTACTTACTTGTCTCCTGCCACCTATACCTGCCCCACAGCCTGTGATTTCCAGGTCTTAGTACTTAGAACTAATGCAGAATGCTCACCTCTGCCAGAAATGCTTCCCTTCTGCTGAGGTATCCCAAGCTTTTCATTGGATAGAAAGGACAGATTGGAGACAGTTACCCATATGGGAAATAATGACATCCCATTTGTCAACCCCCATGCTGGTAACCTTCTTCCCATCCTCTCCACCTGCCTAGCAATACCATAACATCTGAATGTAAGGTTATCTGCCAAGAGCATCTGCCTAGCTCCTCAGTCGGGCAGCACGCCCATTCAGGAGCCCACCTTCCCTATCCTTGTTCCAGCATGTCATGTTCAAACTCTTTGCTCTTGCCTCCCATTTCACGCCTGTCTCAGTTTGTCTCTGGCACCTTCTGGTCCTCCCACAGCCACAGCTGCCCCTACCCATTTTTTCCACCCTGAGATCCTAATCACATCTCCTCTGAACCCTATAGGCAGACTTGACTCTATAGTGCTTTCTCCAGAGACCCACCTCTGTTTTCCAGGTTCACCAATAAACCACATTTCTTGAAAGCTCTCCCTGACCTGCTGGGGATGGAGCTGGAGCCTTTCACTGCAGGCTCTTTGCTAGCTTGCATGATGAGGGCTTACACTTTGGTGTGGCAGAGTATGTGTGATGTGCACACACCATTTCACAAATGCTTGGGGAGAGTATTATGGGACCTGAAAATGAGGGACCTTTTGCTCCCAGTCTGTAGTTCACTTTCCTCCCACACGAGCACTGAGGTCCTTTTCCTCCATCTGAGCAGACACATCCTGCTTCAGAGCCTACTTCTGGCCTGCCATGAGCCCTTTCTTCCTGGAGAAGATGATCTGTTTCTCAGACGTAAGTAATGCACGTTGTACATTCAACAACTAATTCTTTACTAGTCACTGATGTCAGGTTCAAGGTAAGGTAACACCAGGGATTTTGAAAGGTTCAGAAGCCCATATGGGTCCAAAACTGGGTGCCTAATTTGACAGAACAGTATTTACTCTTAAGAACAAAGGTACATGTTTATCTGAGCACAAGTGGAGGGCTCTTCTTGTAGACCAGAGCCCCGTTGCCCTGCCTGTTTCCACTCTCTGCTTGGGGAGCTGGAGAGCTCTCCCTTGGAGCAGCAGCAATGTATTTACCTCCCTTTGTACAGGACTGGGTGATGAATATTAAAATGCTGAAATTAACTTGTTTTCTGTGCATTCTGCTCTCCTGACAAGGAAATCCCACTACAAACCCCTGCACAGGCAGTCTAACTGCGCTGAATTGGACCCTTGCTGTGAGGGGATTATATATTCTGATTGGGGCTGCGTTTGCAATTATTTTCTCTGCCACACCAAAGACCTTTACTGCAGAGCTGCAAACCAGTTATAGGAACATGAAATGCTTTGACTTCTTCACTAGGGAGACATTAATCCAATCACAGGTTATGTCCATTACAGACTATGGCAATATTGTATACAGGAATTCCCAGGAGAAGGTTCTACAAAAATTGGAATCTCTCTATAACCATGTTATGAGATTTACTGGTGTGGATAAAATGGGCAGAGTTAAAATTACCAGGCTGGCTATCTCTAAAAGACAGGTGAAGTCTGCTGGCTATCATTGCTTCATAATATTACAAATGGAAAAGCCCTGAAGTAATTGAATAACACATCTGCTGAAAAAACCTTGTGAACTGCTATAACCTAAAGATAGACTGCAAGGAAACAATGTATGTACAGCACCCGGTTAAAAGGAAAAAGATGCTTTCCTTACCTGGTGCAGGAAGATATCGCAAATGTAGATACAGATTCTCTCTTTGCCTCCTAGATTATATGCGTGTGTGTGCTATATATATATATATATATATATAAGTGCGTGTGTTTGTGTCTGTCTATCTCTTTTCATATAAAATAAGTTAAACCAGTTTCCTCAGCAGCCGGAGTCATGGTGCTGGATGGTAACAGTTCATAAGCAGAGCTCACTGCGTTTCCTTTTGTACTGGAGGTTGCTAAAAATATTTGACATGGCTTGCAAAGGAGCTGATTTCTGTTCCCTTAAAGTCTCTCTGTCCTAGTGCAGAAAAAGATTTCAAAGCACTTTGCAAGAGTTGATTAAGCTTTTCCCTGTGCTTTAGTATCAGTATTCAGTGGTCCATAGCCATGGTTTAACAGCAGAGAGCAACTTCACTGGGTCG